GCCCCCCATAGCCCCATAGCCCCCCATAGCCCCCATTACCCCCATAGCCCCCATAGCCCCCATATCCCCCATAGCCTCCTATAGCCCCATAGCCCCCATACCCCCATAGCCTCCCATTACCCCCATAGCCCCCATAGCCTCCTATAGCCCCATAGCCCCCATAGCCCCCATAGCCCCCATAACCCCCATTACCCCCATAGCCCCCATAGCCCCCTATAGCCCCATAGCCCCCATAGCCCCCTATAGCCCCATAGCCCCCATAACCCCATAGCACCATAGGCCCCCATAGCCCCCATAGCCCCCCATAGCCCCCATAGCCCCCATAGCACCCATAACCCCATAACCCCCATAGCCCCCATAGCCCCCATAGCCCCATAACCCCATAGCCCCCATAACCCCCATAACCCCCATAACCCCCATAGCCCCCATAGCCCCATAGCCCCCATAGCCCCATAGCCCCATAGCCCCCATAACCCCATAGCCCCATAGCCCCCCATAGCCCCCTATAGCCCCATAGCCCCCATAACCCCCATAGCCCCATAGCCCCCATAGCCCCATAGCCCCCCATAACCCCCATAGCCCCCATAGCCCCCATAGCCCCCATAGCCCCCTATAGCCCCATAGCCCCCATAGCACCCCATTACCCCCATAGCCCCCATTACCCCCATAGCCCCCATAGCCCCCATAGCCTCCCATAGCCTCCATAGCTCCCATAGCCCCCCATAGGCTCCCATAGCCCCCATAGCCCCCCATTACCCCCATAGCCCCCCATTACCCCCATAGCCCCCATTACCCCCATAGCCCCCATAGCCCCATAGCCCCATAGCCCCCATAGCCCCCATAGATCCACAGCTCCCATAGCCCCCCATAGCCCCCCATTACCCCCATAGCCCCCATAGCCCCCCATAGCCCCCTATAACCCCATAGCCCCCATAGCCTCCATAGCCCCATAGCACCCCATAGACCCCATAGCCCCCATAGCCCCCATAGCCCCCATAGCCCCCATAGCCCCATAGCCCCCATAGCCCCCATAACCCCCATAGCCCCCATAGCCCCCATAGCCCCATAGCCCCCATTACCCCACCCCCATAGCCCCCATAACCCCACCCCCATAGCCCCCATAGCCCCATAGCCCCCATACTCCCATAGCCCCCCATAGCCCCCATAACCCCCTACAGCCCCATAGCCTCCATTGCCACCTATAGCCCCATAGCACCCCATTACCCCCATAGCCCCCATTGCCTCCTATAGGCCCATAGCCCCCCATAACCCCCATAGCCCCCATTGCCCCCCATAGGCTCATAGCTCCCATAGACCCCCATTACCCCCATAGCCCCCATAACCCCCTATAGCCCCCATAGCCCCCACAGCCCCATAGCCCCCCATAACCCCCATTGCCCCCCATAGCACCACAGCCCCCCATTACCCCCATAGCCTCCATTGCCTCCTATAGCCCCATAGCCCTCATAGCCCCCCATTACCCCCATAGCCCCCATAGGCCCCTATAGCACCACAGCCCCCCGTTAACCCCATAGCCCCCATTGCCTCCTATAGCACCATAGCCCCCCATTACCTCCATAGCCCCCATTAGCCCCATAGCCCCCATAGGCCCCTATAGCACCACAGCACCCCATTAACCCCATAGCCCCCATTGCCTCCTATAGCCCCATAGCCCCCATAGCCCCCCATTACCCCCATAGCCCCTCATTACCTCCATAGCCCCCATAACCCCGTACAGCCCCATAGCCCCCCATAACCCCATAGCACCATAGCCCCCCATAGCCTCCTATAGCCCCCATAGCCCCCATTGCCTCCTATAGCCCCATAGCCCCACATTAATCCCATAGCCTCCATTGCCTCCTATAGCCCCATAGTTCCCATAGACCCCCATTACCCCCATAGCCCCCATAGCCCCATAGCCCCCATAGCACCCCATTACCCCCATAGCCCCCCATTACCCCCATAGCCCCCATAGCCCCCTATAGCCCCATAGCCCCCCATAACCCCCATAGCCCCCATAGCCTCCTATAGCCCCATAGCCCCCATAGCCCCCATAACCCCCATAGCCCCCATAGCCCCCATAGCCCCATAGCCCCCATAGCCCCCCATTACCCCCATAGCCCCCATAGCCCCATAGCCCCATAGCCCCCATAGCCCCCCATTACCCCATAGCCCCCCATTACCCCCATAGCCCCCATAGCCCCATAGCCCCCATAGGCCCCTATAGCACCACAGCCCCCCATTACCCCCATAGCCCCCATAGCCCCCTATAGCCCCCATAGCCCCCATAGCCCCCATCACCCCCATAGACTCCATTGCCTCCTATAGCCCCATAGCCCCCATAGCCCCCCATTACCCCCATAGCCCCCTATAGCACCACAGCCCCATAGCCCCCCATAGCCCCCCATTACCCCATAGCCCCCCATTACCCCATAGCCCCCCATTAGCCCCATAGCCCCCCATAGCCCCCTATAGCCCCATAGCCCCCCATTACCCCCATAGCCCCCATTGCCTCCTATAGCCCCATAGCCCCCCATTACCCCCATAGCCCCCTATAGCACCACAGCTCCCATAGCCCCCATAGCCCCCATTACCCCATAGCCCCCCATTAGCACCCCATAGCCCCCATTAGCCCCATAGCCCCCATAGCCCCTATAGCCCACAGCCCCCCATTACCCACAGCCCCCATAGCCCCCCATAGCCCCCATAGCCCCCATAGCCCCCATTGCCCCCATAGCCCCCATAGCCCCATAGCCCCCATTGCCCCCCATAGCCCCCCATTACCCCATAGCCCCCATTACCCCATAGCCCCCATAGCCCCATAGCCCCCATAGTCCCCTATAGCACCACAGCCCCCCATTAATCCCATAGCCTCCATTGCCTCCTATAGCCCCATAGTTCCCATAGACCCCCATTACCCCATAGCCCCCCATTACTCCCATAGCCTCCCATTACCCCCATAGCCCCCATAGACCCCCATAGCCCCCCATCACCCCCATACCCCCCGTACCTGCAGCACGAACCGTTCCCACCCGGGCTCCATCTCGCGCTTGGGGGCGGGGCCAAGCGATGAAAGAGGAGGGAGGGGGGAGGAGGAGGAAAAGGGGGCGGAGCTTCAGGCGCGCGCGCGCGGGGCGCGGCGGGAGACGAGGGCGGGGCTTCCCTTTCCCGCGCTCCCCCCCCTTTCTTCCCCTCCGCTTTTTGGCGCGCCGGGGAGCGCGCGCCCGCGGCCCCCCCCCACCCCCCGAGGGGGCGGCCTCTGATTGGGCGGGGCCGGCGCGCGCCCCTTTTCCCGCCCCCTTTCCCTTCTTTTTCCCGCGCCGCCGCTTTTTTCCCGCGCGCACAAAATGGCCGCCTCCTCCCCTTCCCCCTTCCCCACCCCGCCTCGTTCTCGCTCTCCCCCCACACGCGATTGGTCGGCGGCGGGACACGTGACGGGCGGAAGCCACTCCTCCCCCTTACGTAGCCTTAAGGGAGGGGCGGGGCCGCAGAGCGCATGCGCGCAGGGGCCTCAGCGCCGTTGCCACGGCAACCGCAGCCTCCCCCTCCCTTCGCTTTCTCCCTTTGCGCTGATTGGCTGAGAGCGGCCCCGCCTCCTCCTGACCACGCCCCCTCCTCCCTTACGTGGCGACGCCCCTTGAGGGGGGGGGTTCGCCCTTGAGGCCGCGCCCCGCTCCCCTTCTAGAGCCCCGCCCCTCCTTAAGGCCACGCCCCTTGCCTAAGGCCACGCCCCCCGCGGCGGCCATTTTGCGCAGCGACGCCCCCCCCCCATAGAAACCCATGGGGACGGGGGAGTGGGGGGCCACAGACGTTTATTTTGGGGTGAATTTGGGCTCTTTTGGGCTGATTTTGGGTCGATTTTGCAGTTTTGGTGCCGTCCCCCCCAGATCAGTGCCTTTTGGGCTGATTTTGGCCCATTTTGGGCGGATTTGAGTGGGTTTGGGGTGGGTTTTGGGGCTATTTTGGGTTATTTTAGGGGGATTGGTGCTGATTCGGGCTCATTTTGGGGTTGTTTTGTGTTGGTTTTGGGCTATTTTGGGATAATTTTGCCCTATTTTGGCTCTATTTCACTCACCCCCCCATCCTAAATGCGTTTTGGGCTGATTTTGGCCAATTTTGGTCAAATTTGGGCCAATTTTGGTCTTGTTTGGGCTCATTTTGGCCAATTTTGGTCTAATTTGGGCTGATTTTTGGCCAATTTTGGTCTATTTTCGGCCATTATGGCCTGATTTGGGGTGCTTTTGGTCTAATTTTGTCCAATTTGGTTTAATTTTGTCCAATTTTGGTCTAATTTTAGCTCGTTTTGGCTGATTTTAGTCTGATTTTGTCCAATTTTAGTCTAACTTTGGCCAATTTTGGCCTTATTTGAGCTGGTTTTGGCCAATTTTGGTCTAATTTGTCCAATTTTCATCTAATTTGTTCTGATTTTGGCCAATTCTTGTCTAAATTGAGTTGATTTTGAGCTATTTTGGTTAATATCAGCAGATTTTGGCCAATTTTAGTCTAATTTGTGCTGACTTTGGCCAATTTTGGTCTAATTTCATCTGATTTTGGCCATTTTGGTCTAATTTGGGCCTCTTTTAGTCTAATTTGTGCAGATTTTGTCCAATTCTTGTCTAATTTGAGCTGATTTGACCAATTTTGGTCAAATTTCAGCACATTTTGTCCAATTTTATTCTAATTTGAGCTGATTTTGACCAATTTTGGTTAATTTTGTCAGATTTTGTCCAATTTTATTCTAATTTGAGCTGATTTGACCAATTTTGGTCAAATTTCAGCACATTTTGGCCAATTTTGCTCTAATTTCTGCTGATTTGGGCCCATTTGGGTCTAATTTGCGCTCATTCGGGGGTTGATTTAGTGGTTAATTCCTTGCCCGATTTGTGCCATTTTCCGCCCGATTCCCCTCAAATTCCTCTCTATTCCCACCCCATTTTCTCTCCCCGCCCCTCCCCCCCCTTCCCCCCTCCCCCTTTCCTTCTTTTTTGCCCGATTTCCGCTCATTTCGCCCCATTCCCGCCCCGTTTCGCCCATTGCAGGAGGCGGCGCCGCAGCTCCTGGGCCAGCAGGCGGCGCTCGAGGGCCGTGCGCAACAGCGCCCCCTGGCGGTGCTCCTGGGCGCGGCGCGCCAGGTACGGCAGCACCGACACTTCCGGTCCCACCGGAACTGACTTGAAGGCGGAGAAACCCGCGCGCCCTGACCGGAAATGGGGGGGGAGAGCCCATAATAAACACATAGGGACCCATAGAGACACATAGAGACCCATAGAGACCCATAGAGACCCATAGAGACCCATAGAGACCCCATAGAGACCCATAGAGACCCATAGAGACCCATAGAGACCCCATAGTAACCATAACATCCCATAATAACCACATAGAGACCCATAGAGACCCATAGAGACCCATAGTGACCGCATAGTAACCATAACATCCCATAATAAACCCACAGGTACCCATAGAAACCCCATAGTAAGCATAACATCCCATAATAACCACATAGGGACCCATAGAGACCCATAGAGACCCCATAGAGACCCCATAGGGACCCATAGAGACCCCATAGAGACCCCATAGAGACCCCATGAGCCCATAGAGACCCCATAGAGAGAGCCCATGAGCCCATAGAGACCCATAGAGCCCCATAGAGCCCCATAGAGCCCCATAGAGACCCATAGAGCCCCATAGAGACCCATAGAGCCCCATAATAACCCCATAGAGCCCCATAGAGACCCATAGAGACCCATAGAGACCCCATAGAGACCCCATAGAGCCCCATAGAGCCCATAGAGCCCCATAGAGCCCATAGAGCCCCATAGAGCCCCATAGAGCCCCATAGAGCCCCATAGAGCCCCATAGAGACCCATGACCCCATGAGACCATAGAGACCCATAGACCCCATAAGCCCATAGAGACCCCATAGAGCCCATGAGCCCAGAACCCCATAGAGACCCCATAGAGCCCCATAGACCATAGAGCCCCATAGAGCCCCATAGAGCCCCATAGAGACCCATAGAGACCCCATAGAGCCCCATAGAGACCCCATAGAGCCCCATAGAGCCCCATAGAGACCCCATAGAGCCCCATAGAGCCCCATAGAGCCCCATAGAGCCCCATAGAGCCCCATAGAGCCCCATAGCGCCCCATAGCAGGGCTCACCCAGCGCCAGGCTCACGTGATCGCCCATCCCATAGAGCTGCCCGAAGCAGACCCCGGCGCGGCGCGGGATGCGCAGGGCCTCCATGCTGCCATGGCAACGGAGGCGGCCCATGGTGAGAGCCTGGGGTCCCATAGGGACACAGAGCGGCATCCCATAATAACCCCATAGTAACATCCCATAATAACCCATAGTAACATCCCATAATAACCCATAGTAACATCCCATAATAACCCATAGTAACATCCCATAATAACCCATAGTAACATCCCATAATAACCCCATAGTAACAATAGCATCCCATAATGACCCCATAGTAACAATAGCATCCCATAATGACCCCATAGTAACAATAGCATCCCATAATGACCCCATAGTAACAATAGCATCCCATAATGACCCCATAGTAACAATAGCTCCATAGTCCCATAGTAACAATAGCATCCCATAATGACCCCATAGTAATACATCCATAATAACCCATTAACAATAGCATCCCATAATGACCCCATAGTAACAATAGCATCCCATAATGACCCCATAGTAACAATAGCATCCCATAATGACCCCATAGTAACAATAGCATCCCATAATGACCCCATAGTAACAATAGCATCCCATAATGACCCCATAGTAACAATAGCATCCCATAGTGACCCATAATGACCCCATAGTAACAATAGCATCCCATAATGACCCCATAGTAACAATAGCATCCCATAATAACCCCATAGTAACAATAGCACCATAATGACCCATAGTCATCCCATCCCATAGTGACCCATAATAACAATGGCATCCCATAATGACCCCATAGTAACAATAGCATCCCATAATGACCCCATAGTAACAATAGCATCCCATAATGACCCCATAGTAACAATAGCATCCCATAGTGACCCCATAGTAACAATAGCATCCCATAATCACATAGTAACAATAGCATCCCATAATGACCCCATAGTAACAATAGCATCCCATAATGACCCCATAGTAACAATAGCATCCCATAGTGACCCATAAACAATATCATCCCATAATGACCCCATAGTAACAATAGCATCCCATAATGACCCCATAGTAACAATAGCATCCCATAATGACCCCATAGTAACAATAGCATCCCATAGTGACCCCATAGTAACAATAGCATCCCATAATGACCCCATAGTAACAATAGCATCCCATAATGACCCCATAGTAACAATAGCATCCCATAATGACCCCATAGTAACAATAGCATCCCATAGTGACCCCATAGTAACAATAGCATCCCATAATGACCCCATAGTAACAATAGCATCCCATAATGACCCCATAGTAACAATAGCATCCCATAGTGACCCCATAGTAACAATAGCATCCCATAATAACCCCATAGTAACAATAGCATCCCATAGTGACCCCAGAGAGACCCTATAGAGACCCATAGAGACCCCATGGTAACCAGAACATCCCATAATAACCCCATAGTGACCCCATAGAGACCCATAGAGACCCCAGAGAGACCCCATGGTAACCAGAACATCCCATAATAACCCCATAGTGACCCCATAGAGACCCCAGAGAAGCCCCATGGTAACCAGAACATCCCATAATGACCCCATGTTGACCCCATAGTAACCATAACATCCCATAATAACCCTATAGTAACAATAGCATCCCATAATAACCCCATAGTAACCTCATAGTAACCAGAACATCCCATAATAACCCCAGAGAGACCCCATGGTGACCCCATGGTAACCATAACACCCCATAATAACCCCACAGTGACCCCATAGCAACCATAACACCCCATAATAACCCCACGGTGACCCCATAGCAACCATAACACCCCATAATAACCCCACAGTGACCCCATAGCAACCATAACACCCCATAATAACCCCATAGCAACCCCATAGCAACCATAACACCCCATAATAACCCCACAGCGACCCCATAGCAACCATAACACCCCATAATAACCCCACAGTGACCCCATAGCAACCATAACACCCCATAATAACCCCACGGTGACCCCACAGTGACCCCATTAGAACAAGGAGGGGGGCGTGGCCGTGTCCTCAGCTGACCCCGCCCCCTTTGGCCCTTTAGCGCCCCCTGCTGGCCGCGCCGCAAACCCCTGCCTGCGCCCCCATAGACACCAATAGAGCCCCATAGAGCCCTATAGACACCCCATAGAGCCCCATAGACACCAATAGAGCCCCATAGCGCCCCATAGCGCCCCACATGTGGGGCAGACCCACCGCTGCACCGCCTGCATCACCGAGGCCTCGTTGTGAGTGGCCACCATGAGCCGGGCCTGGTCCTGAACCACCAGTGCTAGAGCCAGCTCCAGGCAGGCCCCATAGCTATGGGGTGAGACCCATAGAGAGCCATTGGGACACATAGGGACACATAGAGACCCATAGAGACCCATAGAGACCATAGGGACCCATAGAGACCATAGGGACCCATAGAGACCCATAGAGACCCCATACAGCCCTATAGAGACCCCATAGAGACCCATTGGGAGCCATAGAGACACATAGAGACCCCATAGAGACACATAGAAACCCCATAGGGACCCATAGAGGCCCATAGAGACCCCATAGAGCCCCATAGACACCCCATAGAGAACCCATAGAGACCCCATAGAGCCCCATAGAGCCCCATAGACACCCCATAGAGACCTCATAGACACCCCATAGAGACCCATAGAGCCCCATAGAGCCTCATAGAGCCCCATAGAGACCCATACAGCCCCATAGAGACGCCATAGACACCCCATAGAGACCCATAGAGACCCATAGAGCCCCATAGAGCCCCATAGAGCGCCATAGAGACCCATAGAGACCCCATAGAGACCCCATAGAGACCCCATAGAGCCCCATAGAGACCCCATAGAAACCCCATAGAGAACCCATAGAGACCCCATAGAGCCCCATAGAGCCCCATAGATCCCCATAGAGACCCCATAGAGCCCCATAGAGACCCCATAGAGCCCCATAGAGCCCCCATAGACCCCCATAGCCCCACCTGATGTGCGTGGCCTCCAATGTGGGGTGCAAGGGGTCCGGGACCCCCAAGTTGTGGGCCCGGAGCCGCTCCTCCTCCAGGTACGCCCCTCGGACCAGCTTCACCCCATAGCGCGCCCCATAGCGCCGGGCCCATGAGGCCTCCATGGTGAGCACCTGCTCAGCGCCCTGCCCCATAGAGAGCCCGGTGCGGGGTGCCCCATAGGGATCCATAGAGACCCACAGGGACCCCATAGGGACCCATAGGGACCCATAGAGACCCCATAGAGATCCCACAGAGACCCCATAGAGACCCCATAGAGACCCATAGAGACCCATAGAGACACCATAGAGACCCACAGGGACCCCATAGAGACCCCATAGAGCCCCATAGAGCCCCATAGGGACCCATAGAGACCCATAGAGACCCATAGAGACCCACAGGGACCCCATAGAGACCCCATAGAGCCCCATAGAGCCCCATAGGGACCCATAGAGACCCATAGAGACCCATAGAGACCCACAGGGACCCCATAGAGACCCCATAGAGCCCCATAGAGCCCCATAGGGACCCATAGAGACCCATAGAGACCCATAGAGACCCACAGGGACCCCATAGAGACCCCATAGAGCCCCATAGAGCCCCATAGGGACCCATAGAGACCCATAGAGACCCATAGAGACCCACAGGGACCCCATAGAGACCCCATAGAGCCCCATAGAGCCCCATAGGGACCCATAGAGACCCATAGAGACCCATAGAGACCCACAGGGACCCCATAGAGACCCCATAGAGCCCCATAGAGCCCCATAGGGACCCATAGAGACCCATAGAGACCCATAGAGACCCACAGGGACCCCATAGAGACCCCATAGAGCCCCATAGAGCCCCATAGGGACCCATAGAGACCCATAGAGACCCATAGAGACCCATAGAGACCCCATAGAGACCCCATAGAGACCCCATAGAGACCAATAGAGACCCCATAGAGACCCCATAGAGACCCCATAGAGACCCCATAGAGCCCCATAGAGACCCATAGAGACCCCATAGAGACCCCATAGAGACCCCATAGGGATACATAGAGACCCATACAGACTCCATAGAAACCCCATAGAGCCCCATAGGGACCCATAGAGACCCCATAGAGACCCATATGGACCCATAGAGACCCCATAGATCCCCATAGATCCCCATAGAGACCCATAGACACCCATAGGGACCCCATAGATACACATAGAGACCCATAGAGTCCCCATACAGACCCATAGAACCCCATAGAACCCCATAGATCCCCATAGAGACCCCATAGACACCCATAGAGACCCCATAGAGCCCCCCCTCGCCCCCCATCCATGGGGCTGCCCCATAGCGCCCCCTAACGCACCCTCACGTAGGCCTGCACCGTGCTCCAGACGCGAGGCTCCGCCCCCCGGTTGTGCCGGCCAATCAGAGCGAGGGTGAGGAGCCGCAGCGCCCCCTGCAGGTGGCTCTGCTCCGCGTCCACCATGAGCGTGACTCCCTGCGCCGCGGCCGCCTGCGGGGCCCCATTGAGCTCTATGGGGCTGCCCCATGGATTCTATGGGGCTGGATCCACATCGGGACCCATTGATTCTGTGGGGCTGCCCCGTTGATCCTATGGGGCTGGATCCATATCGGGGCCCATTGAGCTCTATGGGGCTGCCCCATGGATTCTATGGGGCTGGATCCACATCGGGACCCATTGATTCTATGGGGCTGGATCCACATTCGGGCCCTACTGATTCTATGGGGCTGCCCCATGGATTCTATGGGGCTGGATCCATATTGGGACCACTGATTCTATGGGGCTGCCCCATGGATTCTATGGGGCTGGATCCACATCGGGACCCATTGAGCTCTATGGGGCTGCCCCATGGATTCTATGGGGCTGGATCCATATCAGGACCCATTGAGCTCTATGGGGCTGCCCCATGGATTCTATGGGGCTGGATCCACATCGGGACCCATTGATTCTGTGGGGCTGCCCCGTTGATCCTATGGGGCTGAATCCATATTGGGACCCATTGAGCTCTATGGGGCTGCCCCATGGATTCTATGGGGCTGGATCCACATCGGGACCCATTGATTCTATGGGGCTGCCCCATGGATTCTATGGGGCTGGATCCATATTGGGACCCATTGAGCTCTATGGGGCTGCCCCATGGATTCTATGGGGCTGGACCCACATTGGGACCCACTGAGTCTATGGGGCTGACTCATTGATTCTATGGGGCTGAATCCATATTTGGGCCCCACTGATTCTATGGTGCTGCCCCATGGATTCTATGGGGCTGGATCCACATCGGGACCCATTGATTCTATGGGGCTGCCCCACTGATTCTATGGGGCTGGACACACATCGGGACCCATTGATTCTATGGGGCTGCCCCACTGATTCTATGGTGCTGGACCCATATCCAGGCCCCATTGATTCTATGGGGCTGCCCCACTGTCCTATGAGACTGTCCCACTGATTCTATGGGGCTGGACCCACATCGGGACCCATTGAGTCTATGGGGTGGCCCCATTGATTCTATGAGGCTTCCCCATTGATTCTATGGGGGTGGACCCACATCGAGCCTTACTGATTCTATGTGGCTGCCCCACTGATTCTATGGGACTGGACGCACATCTGGCCCCATGGATTCTATGGGGCTGGACCCACATCGGGATCCACTGATTCAACGGGGCTGGCCCACTGAAGTCTATGAGGCTGGACCCACATCAGTCAACATTGAGTCTATGGGGCTGTCCCACTGATTCTATGGGGCTAGACCCACATTGGGCCCCACTGATTCTATGGGGCTGGACACATATTGGGACCCACTGAATCTATGGGGCTGCCCCATTGATTCTATGGGGCTGCCCCACACCTCACCTGGGCCACGCTGTCCAAGCGCCGCAGGGAGACCCCAAAGTGCTGGTTCTGCTGTGGGGTCAGGAAGGGCAGGGAAGGAGCAATCTATGGGGCAGACCCACAAGTTAGGGGGGATCATTGGGCTCTATGGGGCAGGTTATGGGGCTCTATGGGGCAGGATATGGGGCTCATTGGGCTCTATGGGGCAGGTTATGAGGCTCATTGGGCTCTATGGGGCAGATTATGAGGATCTATGGGGCAGGTTATGGGGCTCATTGGGCTCTATGGGGCAGGATATGGGGCTCATTGGACTCCATGGGGCAGCATATGGGTCTCATTGGGCTCCATGGTGCAGGTTATGGGTCTCATTGGGCTCTATGGGGAAGGTTATGGGGCACTATGGGGCAGCTTATAGGGCTCACTGGGCTCTATGGGGCAGATTATGAAGCTCTATGGGGCAGGTTATGGGGCTCATTGGGCTCTATGGGGCAGGTTATGAGGATCTATGGGGCAGGTTATGGGGCTCATTGGCCTCTATGGGGCAGGTTATGGGACACATTGGGCTCAATGGGGCATGTTATTGGGCTCATTGGGCTCAATGGGGCAGGTTATGGGTCTCATTGGGCTCTATGGGGCAGATTATGAGGCTCTATGGGTCAGGTTATGGGGCTCATTGGGCTCTATGGGGCAGGTTATGGGGCACATCGAGTTCTATGGGGCAATCTATGGGGCTCAGCCCCATATGCGTGGGTCAGGCCCCACCTCGCCCCCCATGGCCGCAATGATGAACTCCGGCGTCAGTTTGGTACCCGGCTCCTGCATCCGCTGCTGGATGGTGGCCTATGGGGAGATGTGGGGCTCAATTATGGGGCTGGGGGGGGGGGTGCCCCAACCCTGCCCCATAGATTCTATGGGGCAGACCCACGGATTCTATGGGGCAGACCCATAGATTCTATGGAACAGTTCTATAGATTCTATGGGGCAGACCCACAGATTCTATGGGGCAGACCCATAGATTCTATGGGGCAGACCCACAGATTCTATGGGGCAGACCCATAGATTCTATGGAACAGACCTATAGATTCTATGGGGCAGACCCATAGATTCTATGGAACAGACCCACAGATTCTATGGGGCAGACCCACAGATTCTATGGGGCAGACCCACAAATTCTATGGGGCAGACCCACAGATTCTATGGAACAGACCCATAGATTCTATGGGGCAGCCCCACACCTTCTGTGGGGCAGCCCCACAAATTCTATGGGGCAGACCCACGGATTGTATAGGGCAGACCCACAGATTCTATGGGGCAGCCCCATAACTCACGCAGAGCTCGGCATCCATCATGGCCGTCACCTTCAGCTGCATCATGGCCCCGGGGCCCGTGGCCGCCGCCAGCCCCACACATTCCAGGGCTGCCCCATGGTTGGCGTCGAACCAGGCCTCGCTGCCCCACACATGGGTGGAGATGTGGGGCAGGGCTCAGAACCCGCCCCATAGAGCCCTATGTGCTCCATAGCCCCCCATAGACAACAATGCACCCCATAACCCACCCCATAGCACCCCATACCCTGCCCCATAGCACCCCATAGACACCAGTGCACCCCATAGCCCCCCATAAACCCCTCACAGCACCCCATTACCAGCTCCATAGACCCGAACGTTCACCATAACCCACCCTATAGCACCCCATCCCCTCCCCATAGCGCCCCCATCCCCTCCCCCATAGAGCACCCATACCCTGCCCCATAGACCCCAATGGATCCCATAGCGCCCCTATCCCCTGCCCCATGGCACCCCATAGAACCCCCACCTCCTGCCCCATAGAGCACTCATACCCTGCCCCATACAACCCAATGCGCCCCAGAGACCCCAATGCACCCCATAGTGCCCCCATCCCCTGCCCCATAGCACCCTATAGACCCACATAGAACCCCCATCCCCTGCCCCATAGCGCTCCATAGGGACCCCATCCCCTGCCCCATAGCGCCCCCATCCCCTGCCCCATAGAGCCCCCATCCCCTCCCCCATAGCGCCCCCATTCCCTGCCCCATAGCGCCCCCATCCCCTGCCCCATAGACCCCAATGCACCCCATAGCGCCCCCATCCCCTGCCCCATAGACCCCAATGCACCCCATAGAGTCCCCATCCCCTGCCCCATAGCGCCCCCATCCTCTGCCCCATAGCGCCCCATATCCCCCCATAGCCCCGCCCCCCCCATAGCACACCCATCCCCTCCCCCATAGCACACCCATCCCCTCCCCCATAGCGCCCCCATTCCCTACCCCATAGACCCCAATGCACCCCATAGAGCCCCCATCCCCTGCCCCATAGACCCCAATGCACCCCATAGCGCCCCCATCCCCTGCCCCATAGCGCCCCATATCCCCCCCACCCCCCCTATCGCGCCCTTTGGCGCCCCCTGGCGGCGCTCACCCTCCGTGGCCCCTCCCCCCGGGGCTCTCGCAGGGGAGGGCGAGGGCGGGGCCGAGCCCCTCCCCCCGCAGCCGCGCGGCCGCCGCCAGGACCCGGGAGGGGGAGGGGCCCGCCACGAACTGGGCGTAAAAGAGAGCGCGGAGGGGGGGAGGGGCGAAGGGGAGGAGCTGCGGGGGGAGGGGAGGGACGCATAAAGAGACCCATAGGGACCCATAGAGACCCATAGAGACACCATAGAGACCCATAGAGACCCATAGAGACCCATAGAGACCCATAGAGACCCATAGAGACCCATAGGGACCCATAGAGACCCATAGAGACCCATAGGGACCCATAGAGACCCATAGAGACCCATAGAGACCCACAGAGACCCATAGAGACCCCATAGAGACCCATAGAGACCCATAGAGACCCATAGAGACCCATAGAGACCCATAGGGACCCATAGAGCCCCATAGGGACCCATAGAGACACCATAGAGACCCATAGGGACCCATAGAGACCCATAGGGACCCATAGAGACCCATAGAGACCCATAGAGACCCATAGAGACCCATAGAGACCCACAGAGACCCATAGAGACCCCATAGAGACCCATAGAGACCCATAGAGACCCATAGAGACCCATAGAGACCCATAGGGACCCGTAGGGACCCGTAGAGACCCCATAGAGACCCATAGAGACCCATAGAGACCCATAGGGACCCATAGAGACCCATAGAGACCCATAGGGACCCGTAGGGACCCGTAGAGACCCCATAGAGACCCATAGAGACCCATAGAGACCCATAGGGACCCATAGAGACCCATAGGGACCCATAGAGACCCATAGAGACCCATAGAGACCCCATAGGGACCCATAAACCCAGCCCCATAGAGCCCACCCCATAGACCCCCATAGACCCCCATAGACCCCTCATAGACCCCAATAGACCCAATAGACCCCCATAGACCCCCATAGACCCCCATAGACCCCCATAGACCCCCATAGACCCCATAGACCCCCCATAGACCCCCATAGCCCCCCATAGACCCCCATAGCCCCCCATAGACCCCCATAGCCCCCCATAGACCCCCCATAGACCCCCATAGACCCCCATAGACCCCCCATAGCCCCCCATAGACCCCCATAGACCCCCCATAGACCCCCATAGACCCCCATAGACCCCCCATAGACCCCCATAGACCCCCATAGACCCCCCATAGACCCCCATAGACCCCCCCATAGACCCCCATAGACCCCCCATAGACCCCCATAGACCCCCATAGACCCCCCATAGACCCCCCATAGACCCCCATAGACCCCCATAGACCCCCATAGACCCCCATAGACCCATAGACCCCATAGACCCCCATAGACCCCCCATAGACCCCCATAGACCCCCATAGACCCCCATAGACCCCCCATAGACCCCCATAGCCCCGCCCCCTCCCCTCCCCTCCCCCCTCACCGTCCCCGCTCTCTTGGCCACGCCCCTCCTCGCGCACAGCCCCAGCACCAGCAGCGCCCGCAGCAGCTCCCGCGCGCTCCGGCGCCGCAGCCCCGCCCCCCCCGCCAGGTCCAGCCCGGGGGGAGGGGCGCAGGGAGGGGGGAGGGGGAGGGGGGGGGTGGGGGGCACCGACACCGAGCCCGGCCCCATAGATCCCGATCCCTGCCCCATAGAGCCCTGCCCCATAGAGCCCTGCCCCATAGAGCCCTGCCCCATAGATCCTTGCCCTATAGAGCCCTCTTCCTGCCCCATAGATCCCGATCCCTGCCCCATAGAGCCCCGACCCATAGAGCCCAATCCCTGCCCCATAGAGCCAGAGCCCTGCCCCATAGATCCTTGCCCCATAGAGCTATGCCCTATAGAGCCCGAGCCCTGCCCCATAGATTCCGATCCCTGCCCCATAGAGCCCTCTCTCTGCCCCATAGAGCCCTGACCCATAGAGCCTTGCCCTATAGAGCCCTCTCCCTGCCCCATAGATCCCTCTCTCTGCCCTATAGACCCCTGCCCTATAGAACTATACCCTATAGAGCCCTCTCTCTGCCCCATAAATCCCTCTCCCTGCCCCATAGATCCCAATCCCTGCCCCATAGATCCCTGCCCTATAGATCTATGCCCTATAGAGCCCTCTCCCTGCCCCATAGATCCCTGCTCTATAGATCCCAAGCCCTGCCCCATAGATCCCAATCCCTGCCCCATAGATCCCGATCCCTGCCCCATAGAGCCCTGCCCTATAGAGCCCTCTCCCTGCCCCATAGATTCCAATCCCTGCCCCATAGATCCCTGCCCCATAGATCCCTGCCCCATAGATCCCTGCCCCATAGATCCCGATCCCTGCCCCATAGAGCCCTGCCCTATAGAGCCCTCTCCCTGCCCCATAGATTCCAATCCCTGCCCCATAGATCCCTGCCCCATAGATCCCTGCCCCATAGATCCTTGCCCCATAGACCCCCGCTCCTGCCCCACAGTTCCCCCCCCCAGCTTCTGCCCCCCAGAGCCCCTGAGCTGCTCCTGCCCCATAGCGCCTGTGCAAAGGTCGGGGCCCCGCTGTGGGGCCGGGCTTTAAACGGGAGCTCCCACCCCATAGATACACATTAACCCGCCCCACACGGGTCAGTGCCCCACGGCGGGGGGGCAGTGGGGGAGGGTGCTATGGGGCACGCTATGGGGTGTGCTATGGGGTGTGCTATGGGGCACGCTATCGGGTGTGCTATGGGATGTGCTATGGGGGCGCTATGGGGTGTGCTATGGGGTGTGCTATGGGGCACGCTATGGGGCACACTATGGGGTGTGCTATGGGGTGTGCTATGGGGCACACTGTACAGTGCTATGGGTCACAGAATGGGACACACTATGGGGTGTGCTATGGGGCACACTATGGGGTGTGCTATGGGGCACGCTATGGGGCACACAATGGGGTGTGCTATGGGGCATACTATGGGACATGCTATGGGGCACACTATGGGGCACGCTATGGGGCACGCTATGGGTCACACTGTGGGGTGTGCTATGGGGCACGCTATGGGGCATGCTATGGGGCATGCAATGGGGTGCGCTATGGGGCACACTATAGGGTGTGCTATGGGACACGCTATGGGGCACGCTATGGGGCACACAATGGGACACACTATGAGGTGTGCTATGGGGCACACTATGGGGCATGCTATGGGGCATGCAATGGGGTACACTATGAGGTGTGCTATGGGGCACACTATGGGGCGCACTATGGGGCGTGCTATGGGGCATGCTATGGGGCATGCAATGGGGCGCTATGGGGCAGGTTCCAACCCACTCCCCCCCATCACCCCCCATTAACTCAACACCACACACACCACAATGCGCTTATGGGATGCTTTATTCTCTATGGGGCGATCAAAGGGGCGCGCTATGGGGCAGGGGCCCATTAACACCATTCACCCAGCCCCATATGGGCCAAGGCTGCCCATAATGGCGCTTATGGGGGAGGGAGGCTGTGGCTATGGGGTGCTATGGGGGTGCACTATGGGGCAGGCTATGGGGTGTTATGGGGCAGAATAGGGTGCTATGGGGCAGGCTATGGGGTGCTATGGGATGCTATGGGGCAGGTTATGGGGCGCTATGGGTCGCTATGGGGCGCTATGGGTCAGGCTATGGGTCGCTATGGGGCGCTATGGGTCAGGCTATGGGGTGCTATGGGGCAGGCTATGGGTCAGGCTATGGGTCAGGCTATGGGGCGCTATGGGTCAGGCTATGGGTCAGGCTATGGGGCGCTATGGGTCAGGCTATGGGTCAGGCTATGGGTCAGGCTATGGGGCGCTATGGGGCAGGCTATGGGTCGCTATGGGTCAGGCTATGGGTCAGGCTATGGGTCGCTATGGGTCGCTATGTGTCGCTATGGGTCAGGCTATGGGTCGCTATGGGTCGCTATGGGGCGCTATGGGTCAGTAGTTGGAGCCTCGTTCCTGTTGCCGGTAGCCGCCGCGTCTCAGGTATCCTCCGTCCCCTTTGCGGTACCCGTCCTTCTGGTCTATGGGGAGAGAGCGGGGGTGAGATGGGGGGCAGGAGCTATGGGGGGGAGCTATGGGGTGGGGTCTATGGGGCTGGGGTCTATGGGGGATCTATGCAGTGGGGTCTATAGGGTGGGATCTATGGGGCTCGGGTCTATGGGGCAGGAGCTATGGGGCTGGGGTCTATGGGGTGGGGTCTATGGGGTGGGATCTATAGGGTGGGATCTATGGGGCTCGGGTCTATGGGGCAGGAGCTATGGGGTGGGAGCTGTGGGGTAGAGACTATGGGGGAGGAGCTATGGGGCTGGGGTCTATGGGGGAGAGCTATGGGGTAGGGTCAATGGGGCTGGGGTCTATGGGGTGAGGTCTATAGGGTGGGATCTATGGGGCAGGGATCTATGGGGCTGGGGTCTATGGGGTGGGATCTATGGGGCTGGGGTCTATGGGGTGGGATCTATGGGGTGGGATCTATGGGGCGGGATCTGTGGGGTGGGATCTCTGGGGCTGGGGTCTATGGGCTGGGTCTATGGGCTGGGTCTATGGGGCAGGGATCTATGGGGTGGGATCATTGGGGCAGGAGCTATGGGGTAGGGTCAATGGGGGTGGGGTCTATGCGGGATCTATGGGGTAGGATATATTGGGTGGGATAGATAGGGCATCTATGGGGCGGGATCTATGGGGTGGGATCTATGGGGTGGGATCTATGGGGGGGATCTATGGGCTGGGGTCTATGGGGCTGGGATCACTGGGGCAGGAGCTATGGGTTAGGGTCAATGGGGTGGGGTCTATAGGGTGGGATTTATGGGGCAGAGATCTATGGGGCAGGGATCTATGGGGTGGGATCTATGGGGCTGGGGTCATTGGGGCAGGAGCTATGGGGTCTCTATGGTGTCTCTATGGTGTCTCTATGTGGTCTCTATGGTATCCCTATGGGTCCCTATGGGTCTCTATGGGTCTCTATGGGGTCTCTATGGGGTCTCTATGGGTCTCTATGGGTCTCTATGGGGTCTCTATGGGGTCTCTATGGGGTCTCTATGGGTCTCTATGGGGTCTCTATGGGTCCCTATGGGTCTCTATGGGGTCTCTATGGGGTCTCTATGGGTCTCTATGGGTCTCTATGGGGTCTCTATGGGGTCTCTATGGGTCCCTATGGGTCTCTATGGGGTCTCTATGGGGTCTCTATGGGTCTCTATGGGTCTCTATGGGGTCTCTGGGGTTCTATGGGGTCTCTATGGGTCTCTATGGGGTCTCTATGGGTCTCTATGGGTCCCTATGGGTCTCTATGGGTCTCTATGGGGTCTCTATGGGTCTCTATGGGTCTCTATGGGTCTCTATGGGTCTCTATGGGTCTCTATGGGTCCCTATGGGGTCTCTATGGGTCTCTATGGGGTCTCTATGGGTCTCTATGGGTCCCTATGGGTCCCTATGGGTCTCTATGGGTCCCTATGGGTCCCTATGTGTCCCTATGGGTCTCACCTCGGAAGTACCCCCCATAGGAGCCCTGTTTGTGGTCCAGGACCCTCTCATTGTTCTCCATGAGGGTCCCCAACTTCTCAGCCAATTGGAGGGCCAGGTTCTGTTGGGGGGTGGGCTCCGTGCGATGCATCTGCACCGTCTGCGTGGGCTGGTCCAGGGACGCCTATGGGGCAGGAGAGGGCGGCGCTATGGGGCAGCCCCATAGCGAGCCCCACAACTCATAGGGAATGGCTCCAATGGAAGGCTATGGGGATGCAGCATCCATCAGAGCATCCTTACTCCCATAGGGTACCACTGGGGTGTAAATCACTGCATCCTCACTCCCATGAGCATCGCTATGGGGCAGCCCCATAGCGAGCCCCACAAGTCATAGGGAATGGCTCCAATGGAAGGCTATGGGGATGCGGCATCCATCAGAGCATCCTTGCTCCCATAGGGTACCGCTATGGGGCTGCCCCATAAGTGACAGCCCCAATGGAAGTCTATGGGGATGCAGCATCAATCAGAGCATCCTTACTCCTATAGGGTACCGCTATGGGGCTGCCCCATAAGTGACAGCCCCAATGGAAGTCTATGGGGATGCGGCGTCCATCAGAGCATCCTTACTCCCATAGGGTACCACTGGGATGTAAATCACTGCATCCTCACTGCCATAAGCATCGCTATGGGGCTGCCCCATAGCGAGCCCCACAAGTCATAGGGAACGGCTCCAATGCAGTTCTATGGGGATGCGGTGTCAATCAGAGCATCCTTACACCCATAGGGGACCGCTATGGGGCTGCCCCATAAGTGACAGCCCCAATGGAAGGCTATGGGGATGCAGCATCCATCAGAGCATCCTTACTCCCATAGGGTACCACTAGGGTGTAAATCACTGCATCCTCACTCCCATAAGCATCGCTATGGGGCAGCCCCATAGCGAGCCCCACAAGTCATAGGGAATGGCTCCAATGCAGTTCTATGGGGATGCAGCATCCATCAGAGCATCCTTACTCCCATAGGGTACCACTAGGGTGTAAATCACTGCATCCTCACTCCCATAAGCATCGCTATGGGGCAGCCCCATAGCGAGCCCCACAAGTCATAGGGAATGGCTCCAATGCAGTTCTATGGGGATGCAGCATCCATCAGAGCATCCTTACTCCCATAGGGTACCACTAGGGTGTAAATCACTGCATCCTCACTCCCATAAGCATCGCTATGGGGCAGCCCCATAGCGAGCCCCACAAGTCATAGGGAATGGCCCCAATGGAAGGCTATGGGGATGCGGGGTCAATCAGAGCATCCTTACTCCTATAGGGGATCGCTATGGGGCTGCCCCATAAGTGACAGCCCCAATGGAGGGCTATGGGGATGCAGTATCCATCAGAGCATCCTTACTCCCATAGGGTACCACTGGGGTGTAAATCACTGCATCCTCACTGCCATAAGCATCGCTATGGGGCAGCCCCATAGCGAGCCCCACAAGTCATAGGGAACGGCTCCAATGGAGGGCTATGGGGATGCGGCATCAATCAGAGCATCCTTACTCCTATGGGGGATCGCTATGGGGCTGCCCCATAAGTGACAGCCCCAATGGAGGGCTATGGGGATGCAGCATCCATCAGAGCATCCTTACTCCATAGGGTACCGCTATGGGGCTGCCCCATAAGTGACAGCCCCAATGGAAGGCTATGGGGATGCAGCATCCATCAGAGCATCCTTACTCCCATAGGGTACCACTGGGGTGTAAATCACTGCATCCTCACTCCCATAAGCATCGCTATGGGGCAGCCCCATAGCGAGCCCCACAAGTCATAGGGAACGGCCCCAATGGAGGGCTATGGGGATGCGGGGTCAATCAGAGCATCCTTACTCCCATAGGGTACCACTAGGGTGTAAATCACTGCATCCTCACTCCCATGAGCATCGCTATGGGGCAGCCCCATAGCGAGCCCCACAAGTCATAGGGAACGGCTCCAATGGAAGTCTATGGGGATGCAGCATCAATCAGAGCATCCTTACTCCTATAGGGTACCACTATGGGGCTGCCCCATAAGTGACAGCCCCAATGGAAGGCTATGGGGATGCGGCGTCCATCAGAGCATCCTTACTCCCATAGGGTACCGCTATGGGGCTGCCCCATAAGTGACACCCCAATGGAAGGCTATGGGGATGCAGCATCCATCAGAGCATCCTTACTCCCATAGGGTACCGCTATGGGGCTGCCCCATAAGTGACAGCCCCAATGGAGGGCTATGGGGATGCAGCGTCAGTCAGAGCATCCCCACTGCCATAGGGCAGCGCTATGGGGCTGCCCCATAGATCACATCCCCACCCAGACCCGTTGCTATGGGGCTGCCCTATAGCTCCAGACCCCTTTCTATAGGGCTGCCCCATAGAAACCACCACCCCCCTACCCCACAACCCACATCCCCCTCAGCCCCATAGGCAACAGATGGCGTTCCCCATATCCATGGGGCTGCCCCATAGACATCCCACCCAGCCCCACTCCTATGGGGCAGCCCCATAGCTCCTTTCTCCCCCACCCCATCACTCCCATAGACCCATAGGAGCGCCCGCCCCATTGGGACCCCCCTATGGGTCGCCTGCCCCATAAGTGTGGGGCGCTATGGGGCTCACCATGAGCTCCTCATTGATGATCATCTTGCTGATGATGCTGTGCACTGTGGGTAGGTCCAGCTCAAACATGGCCGACAGGATCTCCATGCTGTGGGGTGCCCCATAGATACCCATGGTCAGCCCCATAGATGGCAATGGTGAGCCCCATTGATCCCCATGGTCAGCCCCATTGATCCCCATGGTCAACCACATTGATCCCCATGGTCAACCCCATTGATGCCCATGGTCAGCCCCATTGATCCCCATGGTCAACCCCATTGATGCCCATGGTCAACCCCATTGACCCCCATGGTCAACCCCATTGATCCCCATGGTCAGCCCCATTGATGCCCATGGTCAACCCCATTGATACCCATGGTCAACCCCATTGATCCCCATGGTGAACCCCATTGATCCCCATGGTCAACCCCATTGATACCCATGGTCAGCCCCATTGATCCCCATGGTCAACCCCATTGATCCCCATGGTCAACCCCATTGATGCCCATGGTCAACCCCATTGATCCCCATGGTCAACCCCATTGATACCCATGGTCAGCCCCATTGATCCCCATTGGTCAACCCCATTGATCCCCATGGTCAACCCCATTGATCCCCATGGTCAACCCCATTGATCCCCATGGTCAACCCCATTGATCCCCATGGTCAACCCCATTGATGCCCATGGTCAACCCCATTGATGCCCATGGTCAACCCCATTGATGGTCATGGTGAGCCCCATTGATCCCCATGGTCAACCCCATTGATGCCCATGGTCAACCCCATTGATACCCATGGTCAACCCCATTGATCCCCATGGTCAACCCCATTGAAACCAATGGTCAGCCCCATTGATCCCCATGGTCAACCCCATTGATCCCCATGGTCAACCCCATTGATCCCCATGGTCAACCCCATTGATCCCCATGGACAACCCCATTGATCCCCATGGTCAACCCCATTGATCCCCATGGTCAGCCCCATAGATACCCATGGTCAACCCCATTGATCCCCATGGTCACCCCCATTGATCCCCATGGTCAACCCCATTGATCCCCATGGTCAACCCCATTGATCCCCATGGTCAACCCCATTGATCCCCATGGTCAGCCCCATTGATCCCCATGGTCAACCCCATTGATCCCCATGGTCAACCCCATTGATCCCCATGGTCAACCCCATTGATCCCCATGGTCAACCCCATTGATCCCCATGGTCAACCCCATTGATCCCCATGGTCAACCCCATTGATCCCCATGGTCAACCCCATTGATCCCCATGGTCAGCCCCATTGATGCCCATGGTCAGCCCCATTGATCCCCATGGTCAACCCCATTGATGCCCATGGTCAGCCCCATTGATGCCCATGGTCGACCCCATTGATCCCCATGGTCAGCCCCATTGATCCCCATGGTCGACCCCATTGATCCCCAGGGTCAACCCCATTGATGGTCATGGTCAACCCCATTGATCCCCATGGTCAGCCCCATTGATCCCCATGGTCAACCCCATTGATCCCCATGGTCAACCCCATTGATGCCCATGGTCAACCCCATTGATACCCATGGTCAGCCCCATTGATCCCCATGGTCAACCCCATTGATACCCATGGTCAGCCCCATTGATCCCCATGGTCAACCCCATTGATGCCCATGGTCGACCCCATTGAAACCAATGACCAACCCCATTCAAACCAATGGTCGCCCCATTGAAACCAATGGTGACCCCATAGATGCCCCCATGTCCCTGCTGCCCCATAGGCCCCATAGCGCCCCATGGGCCCCACACCTGATGGAGTCATAGACGCTGCTGTAGGTGAACAGGTAGGTGCGGAGCGACTCCTCCTGGATCTTCCTATGGGGTCATATGGAGATCAATGGGTACCCCCATTGACCCCCCATTGAGCCCCCATTGAGCCCCATTGACCCCCCATTCAGCCCCATTGATCCCCCCATTGAGCCACATTGATCCACCCATTGACCCCTCATTGACCCCCCATTGAGCCCCATTGATCCCCCATTGACCTCCCATTGAGCCCCATTGATCCCCCCATTGAGCCCCATTGACCGCCATTGACGCCATTGAGTCCTATTGATCCCCATTGACTCCATTGACTCCCATTGACCTCCATTGACTCCATTGACCCCATTGACTCCATTGACTCCCATTGACCCCCATTGACCCCCATTGACTTCATTGAGCCCCATTGACCCCCATTGACTCCCATTGACCCCATTGACCCCCATTGACTCCATTGACCCCCATTGACTCCCATTGACTCCCATTGACTCCATTGACTCCATTGACTCCATTGACCCCCATTGACTCCATTGACCCCCATTGACTCCATTGACCCCCATTGACTCCCATTGACTCCCATTGACTCCCATTGACTCCATTGACTCCCATTGACCCCCATTGACTCCCATTGACCCCCATTGACTCCATTGACTCCCATTGACTCCATTGACTCCCATTGACTCCATTGACCCCCATTGACTCCCATTGACCCCCATTGACTCCCATTGACCCCCATTGACTCCATTGACTCCCATTGACCCCATTGACCCCATTGACCCCATTGACCCATTGACTCCCATTGACTCCCATTGACTCCATTGACTCCATTGACCCCCATTGACTCCCATTGACTCCCATTGACTCCCATTGATCCCATTGACTCCCATTGACTCCCATTGACTCCCATTGACCCCATTGACTCCCATTGACTCCCATTGACTCCATTGACTCCATTGACTCCCATTGACTCCCATTGACTCCCATTGACTCCATTGACTCCCATTGACTCCATTGACTCCCATTGACTCCCATTGACTCCCATTGACTCCCATTGACTCCCATTGACTCCCATTGCCCCCCATTGCCCCCCACTCACCTCACCAGCATGGCGCGGCCTTGTCGGCCTCGGGAACGGTCCCAGACTTCCCATCATCTTCCATTGACCCCCATTGACTCCCATTGACTCCCATTGACTCCCATTGACTCCCATTGACTCCCATTGACTCCCATTGACTCCCAGTGTCTCCCATTCCCTCACCAGCATGGCGCGGACCTTGTCGGCCTCGGGGAACAGGTCCCAGACCTTCCCATTCATCTTCTCATTGACCCCCATTGACCCCCATTGACTCCCATTGACTCCCATTGACTCCCATTGACTCCATTGACTCCCATTGACTCCCATTGACTCCCATTGACTCCATTGACTCCATTGACTCCCATTGACTCCATTGACTCCATTGACTCCCATTGACTCCCATTGACTCCATTGACTCCCATTGCCCCCCATTGCCCCCCACTCACCTCACCAGCATGGCGCGGACCTTGTCGGCCTCGGGGAACAGGTCCCAGACCTTCCCATTCATCTTCTCATTGACCCCCATTGACTCCCATTGACCCCCATTGACTCCCATTGACTCCATTGACTCCCATTGACTCCATTGACTCCATTGACCCCCATTGACTCCCATTGACTCCATTGACTCCATTGACCCCCATTGACTCCCATTGACTCCCATTGCCCCCCATTGCCCCCCACTCACCTCACCAGCATGGCGCGGACCTTGTCGGCCTCGGGGAACAGGTCCCAGACCTTCCCATTCATCTTCTCATTGACCCCATTGACTCCCATTGACTCCCATTGACACCATTGACTCCCATTGACACCATTGACCAACCAATGGCTCCATTGACTCCCATTGACACCATTGACTCCCAGTGACACCATTGACTCCCATTGACTCCATTGACTCCCATTGACCCCCATTGACTCCCATTGACTCCATTGACTCCATTGACCCCCATTGACTCCCATTGACTCCCATTGACTCCCATTGACTCCCATTGACTCCCATTGACTCCCATTGACCCCCATTGACTCCATTGACCCCCATTGACTCCCATTGACCCCCATTGACTCCATTGACCCCCATTGACCCCCATTGACTCCCATTGACCCCCATTGCCCCCCACTCACCTCACCAGCATGGCGCACCTTGTCGGCCTCGGGACAGTCCCAGACCTTCCCATTCATCTTCTCATTGACCCCCATTGACTCCATTGACCCCCATTGACTCCCATTGACTCCATTGACTCCCATTGACTCCATTGACTCCATTGACTCCATTGACTCCATTGACCCCCATTGACTCCCATTGACTCCCATTGACTCCCATTGCCCCCCACTCACCTCACCAGCATGGCGCGGACCTTGTCGGCCTCGGGGAACAGGTCCACATGTTCCATCCTTCCATCATCACCTAAGCTCCATGACCCCCATTGACTCCCATTGACTCCATTGACTCCCATTGACTCCATTGACTCCCATTGACTCCATTGACTCCATTGACTCCATTGCCCCCCATTGACTCCCATTGCCCCCCATTGTCCCCCACTCACCTCACCAGCATGGCGCGGACCTTGTCGGCCTCGGGGAACAGGTCCCAGACCTTCCCATTCATCTTCTCATTGGCCCCCATTGACTCCATTGACCCCCATTGACTCCCATTGACTCCATTGACTCCATTGACTCCCATTGACTCCATTGACCCCCATTGACTCCCATTGACTCCATTGACTCCCATTGACTCCCATTGCCCCCCATTGCCCCCCACTCACCTCACCAGCATGGCGCGGACCTTGTCGGCCTCGGGGAACAGGTCCCAGACCTTCCCATTCATCTTCTCATTGACCACGTAGCGGTGGCAGCTCCTCCAGTCTCCCATCTTCATGGCCTTGGAGGCGGCCACCACGTGCTCCCGCATGGACTCGGGGGGGCCTGGGGCACATAGAGACCCATGGAGACCCATAGAGACACATAGGGACCCATAGGGACCCATAGAGACCCATAGGGACCCATAGGGACACATAGGGACCCATAGAGACACATAGGGACACATAGGGACCCATAGGGACACATAGGGACCCATAGGGACCCATAGGGACACATAGGGACCCATAGAGACACATAGGGACACATAGGGACCCATAGGGACACATAGAGACACATAGGGACCCATAGGGACCATAGGGACACATAGGGACCCATAGGGACACATAGGGACCCATAGAGACACATAGGGACCCATAGAGACACATAGGGACACATAGGGACCCATAGAGACACATAGAGACACATAGGGACCCATAGGGACCATAGGGACACATAGGGACCCATAGAGACCCATAGAGACACATAGGGACCCATAGGGACCATAGGGACACATAGGGACCCATAGAGACCCATAGAGACCCATGGACACCAATAGAGACCCATAGAGACCCATAGAGACACCATAGAGAGAGCCATACGCTCAATGGTGATCAAAGGGGACTCAATGGGCACTCAATGGAGTTCTATGAGGACTCAATGGAGATCAATGAGGACACAATGAGGACTCAATGGGGATCAATGGGGACTCAATGGAGTCTGAATGGGAACTCAATGGAGTTCAATCAGGACTCAATGGGGACTGAATGGGGACTCAATGGGGACTGAATGGGGATCAATGGGGACCAAATGGGGACTCAATGGGAACTCAATGGAGATCAGTGAGGACTCAATGGGAACTCAATGGGGACTCAATGGGGACTCAATGGGAACTCAATGGAGTTCAATGAGGACTCAATGGGGACTCAATGGGAACTCAATGGGAACTCAATGGAGTTCAATGAGGACTCAATGGAGATCAATGACAACCCAATGAGGACTCAATGGGGATCAATGGGGACTCGATGGGGTCTCAATGGGAACTCAATGGAGTTCAAAGAGGACTCGATGGAGATCAATGAGGACCCAATGAAGACTCAATGGGGATCAATGGGGACTCGATGGGGTCTCAATGGGAACTCAATGGAGTTCAATGAGGACTCAATGGGGATCAATGAGGACCCAATGAGAACTCAATGGGGATCAATGGGGACTCAATGGGGACTCAATGGGGACCCAATGGAGATCAATGAGGACTCGATGGGGATCAATGAGGACCCAATGAGGACTCAATGGGGATCAATGGGGACTCGATGGGGTCTCAATGGGAACTCAATGGAGTTCAATGAGGACTCAATGGGGATCAATGACGACCCAATGAGGACTCAATGGGGATCAATGGGGACTCGATGGGGTCTCAATGGGAACTCAATGGAGATCAATGGGGACTCAATAAGGACTCAATGGGGACTCAATGGAGTTCAATGAGGACCCAATGAGCACCCAATGGTGATCAATGGGCACCCAATGGAGATCAATGTCCCCCCTATAGACCCACCGAGCAATGGCTGCCTCTCCCCGACCCTGAGCTGATGATGGAACTGCTGAGCATGGGGACCCAATGGGGACTCAATGGGGACTCAATGGGGACTCAATGGGGACTCAATGGGAACTCAATGGGGACTCAATGGGGACTCAATGGAGGTCAATGAGGACTCAATGGGGACTCAATGGGGACCCAATGGGGACTCAATGGGGACTCAATGGGGACTCAATGGGGACTCAATGGGAACTCAATGGGGACTCAATGGGGACTCAATGGAGGTCAATGAGGACTCAATGGGGACTCAATGGGAACTCAATGGGGAGTCAATGGGGACTCAATGAGGACCCAATGAGGACTCAATGGAGATCAATGGGTACTCAATGGGGTCTCAATGGGAACTCAATGGAGTTCAATGAGGACTCAATGGGGACTGAATGGAGATCAATGGGGATTCAATGGAGTTCAATGAGGACTCAATGGGGACTCAATGGGGATCAATGGGGACCCAATAGGAACCCAATGGACATCAATGTCCCCTATAGACCCACCGAGCAATGGCTGCCTCTCCCCGACCCTGAGCTGATGATGGAACTGCTGAGCATGGGGACCCAATGGGGACTCAATGGGGACTCAATGGAGATCAATGGGGACTCAATGGGGACTCAATGGGGACTCAATGGGGACTCAATGGAGATCAATGGGGACTCAATGGGGACTCAATGGGGACCCAATAGGAACCCAATGGAGATCAATGGGGACCCTATACCCACCGAGCAATGGCTGCCTCTCCCCGACCCTGAGCTGATGATGGAACTGCTTGCTGATCATCCTCCTCCTCGCATCGAACTCATGGGCCGCCATGTAGGGGATCTCCAGCAGCATGGCCGCCACCAGGTACACGCACTCGAGCAGCTCCAGGTTCACGTGCATGTGGAAGGGGACCTGGCGCCGCTTCTCCACCTTCTCCTGCTCCGGGTTCCTCTCCTGGAGGCTCCTCAAGAGGAGGCCCTGGCCCAGGAGCTCCTTGGCTCGTCCTGAGGATTGGATGTCCAAGAGGGCGTTGTGGGCGTCCTTGATGAGGCCTTGGCGGAAGGCGCAGATGCCCAGCTGGACCATGGTGCGGTTGTAGAGGATCTGGAGGGGGAGGGGAGAGGTCACTTATGGGGCACAGAGGTCACTTATGGGGCAGAGAGGTTACTTATGGGGTATAGAGGTCACTTATGGGGTAGAAAAGTCATTGGGGTCAATGGGAGAAGCATTGAGGAGGAAAGAAAGAGGTGGGACGCAAGAGGAACCTCATGGAGATGTTCATAGAGAACCACTTGGAGGTCAATGGGGATGATGGGAGATGAAGTTATGGGGTCTAGGGGGTCATAGGGACACAATGGAGGTCAATGGAAGTCAATGGGAGAAGGACTTGGGGGTCAGGGAGTGGTGGGACGCAAGAGGAACCTCATGGAGATGTTGGTAGGGAAAGACTTGGGGGTCAATGGGGATGATGGGAGATGAAGTTATGGGGTCTAGGGGGTCATTGGGACTCAATGGGGGTCAATGGAAGTCAATGGGTTCAATGGGACTCAATGGGGGTCAATGGAAGTCAATGGGTTCAATGGGACTCAATGGGCGTCCTTGATGAGGCCTTGGCGGAAGGCGCAGATGCCCAGCTGGACCATGGTGCGGTTGTAGAGGATCTGGGGGGGGAGGGGACAGGTTACTTATGGGGCAGAGAGGTCACTTATGGGGTATGGAGGGCAGTTATGGGGCAGGGAAGTCATTGGGGTCAATGGGAGAAGGATTGAGGGGGAAAGAAGGGGGTGGGACGCAAGAGGAACCTCATGGAGATGTTCATAGAGAAACACTTGGGGGTCAATGGGGATGATGGGAGATGAAGTTATGGGCTCTAGGGGGTCATAGGGACTCAATGGGGGTCAATGGAAGTCAATGGGACTCAATGGGCGTCCTTGATGAGGCCTTGGCGGAAGGCACAGATGCCCAGCTGGACCATGGTGCGGTTGTAGAGGATCTGGGGGGGGAGGGAGAGGTTACTTATGGGGCACAGAGGTCACTTATGGGGCAGAGAGAACACTTATGGGGTATAGAGGGCAGTTATGGGGTAGGGAAGTCATTGGGGTCAATGGGAGAAGGATTGAGGAGGAAAGAAGGGGGTGGGACGCAAGAGGAACCTCATGGAGATGTTGGTAGGGAAAGACTTGGGGGTCAATGGGGGATGAAGTTATGGGGTCTAGGGGGTCATAGGGACTCAATGGAAGTCAATGGAAGTCAATGGGAGAAGTGCTTGGGGGTCTGGGAGTGGTGGGACTCAAGAGGAACCTCATGGAGATGTTCATAGAGAAACACTTGGGGGTCAATGGGGATGATGGGAGATGAAGTTATGGGGTCTAGGGGGTCAATGGGACACAATGGAGGTCAATGGAGATGGTTACAATGTACCTAGGGGGTCAGGGAGTGGTGGGACTCAAGAGGAACCTCATGGAGATGTTGGTAGGGAAAGACTGGGGGTCAATGGGGATGATGGGAGATGAAGTTATGGGGTCTAGGGGGTCAGAGGGACTCAATGGGGGTCAATGGAAGTCAATGGGGTCAATGGGACTCAATGGGCGTCCTTGATGAGGCCTTGGCGGAAGGCGCAGATGCCCAGCTGGACCATGGTGCGGTTGTAGAGGATCTGGGGGGGAGGGGACAGGTTACTTATGGGGCACAGAGATCACTTATGGGGTATGGAGGTCACTTATGGGGTAGGGAAGTCATTGGGGTCAATGGGAGAAGGATTGAGGAGGAAAGAAGGTGGTGGGACGCAAGAGGAACCTCATGGAGATGTTGGTAGGGAAGGACTTGGGGTCAATGGGGGATGAAGTTATGGGGTCTAGGGGGTCATAGGGACACAATGGAGGTCAATGGAGATGGTTAGAATGTACCTAGGGGGTCAGGGAGTGGTGGGACACAAGAGGAACCTCATGGAGATGTTGGTAGGAAAAGACTGGGGGTCAATGGGGATGATGAGAGATGAAGTTATGGGGTCTAGGGGGTCATAGGGACTCAATGGGGGTCAATGGAAGTCAATGGGTTCAATGGGACTCAATGGGCGTCCTTGATGAGGCCTTGGCGGAAGGCGCAGATGCCCAGCTGGACCATGGTGCGGTTGTAGAGGATCTGGGGGGGGGGGGAGAGGTTACTTATGGGGCACAGAGGTCACTTATGGGGCAGAGAGAACACTTATGGGGCACAGAGGTCACTTATGGGGTAGAAAAGTCATTGGGGTCAATGGGAGAAGGATTGAGGAGGAACGAAAGGCCTAGAGGTCTTGAGGAACCTCATGGAGATGTTGGTAGGGAAAGACTTGGGGGTCAATGGGGATGATGGGGGATGAAGTTATGGGGTCTAGGGGGTCATATGGACACAATGGGGGTCAATGGAAGTCAATGGGAGAAGCATTGGGGGTCAGGGAGTGGTGGGACACAAGAGGAACCTCATGGAGATGTTGGTAGGGAAAGACTGGGGGTCAATGGGGATGATGAGAGATGAAGTTATGGGGTCTAGGGGGTCAGAGGGACTCAATGGGGGTCAATGGAAGTCAATGGGACTCAATGGGACTCAATGGGCGTCCTTGATGAGGCCTTGGCGGAAGGCGCAGATGCCCAGCTGGACCATGGTGCGGTTGTAGAGGATCTGGGGGGGGGAGAGGTTACTTATGGGGCAGAGAGGTCACTTATGGGGCAGAGAGGTCACTTATGGGGCAGAGAGGTCACTTATGGGGTAGAAAACTCATTGGGGTCAATGGGAGAAGGATTGAGGAGGAAAGAAGGGGGTGGGACGCAAGAGGAACCTCATGGAGATGTTGGTAGGGAAAGACTGGGGGTCAATGGGGATGATGGGGGATGAAGTTATGGGGTCTAGGGGGTCAATGGGACTCAATGGGGGTCAATGGAAGTCAATGGCTTCAATGGGACTCAATGGGCGTCCTTGATGAGGCCTTGGCGGAAGGCGCAGATGCCCAGCTGGACCATGGTGCGGTTGTAGAGGATCTGGGGGGGGGTGGGAGAGGTTACTTATGGGGCACAGAGGTCACTTATGGGGTATGGACAACACTTATGGGGCACAGAGGTCATTGGGGTCAATGGGAGAAGCATTGAGGAGGAAAAAACGGCCTAGAGGTCTTGAGGAACCTCATGGAGATGTTGGTAGGGAAAGACTTGGGGGTCAATGGGAGATGAAGTTATGGGGTCTAGGGGGTCATAGGGACACAATGGAAGTCAATGGAAGTCAATGGGAGAAGGACTTGGGGGTCAGGGAGTGGTGGGACGCAAGAGGAGCCTCATGGAGATGTTGGTAGGGAAAGACTGGGGGTCAATGGGGATGATGAGAGATGAAGTTATGGGGTCTAGGGGGTCATAGGGACTCAATGGGGGTCAATGGAAGTCAATGGGTTCAATGGGACTCAATGGGCGTCCTTGATGAGGCCTTGGCGGAAGGCGCAGATGCCCAGCTGGACCATGGTGCGGTTGTAGAGGATCTGGGGGGGGGGGGAGAGGTTACTTATGGGGCACAGAGGTCACTTATGGGGCAGAGAGAACACTTATGGGGCACAGAGGTCACTTATGGGGTAGAAAAGTCATTGGGGTCAATGGGAGAAGGATTGAGGAGGAAAAAACGGCCTAGAGGTCTTGAGGAACCTCATGGAGATGTTGGTAGGGAAAGACTTGGGGGTCAATGGAAGATGAAGTTATGGGGTCTAGGGGGTCATAGGGACACAATGGAGGTCAATGGAGATGGTTAGAAAGCACCCAGGGGGTCAAGGAGTGGTGGGACGCAAGAGGAACCTCATGGAGATGTTCATAGAGAACCACTTGGGGGTCAATGGGGATGATGGGAGATGAAGTTATGGGGTCTAGGGGGTCAAGGGGACACAATGGAAGTCAATGGAAGTCAATGGGAGAAGGACTTGGGGGTCAGGGAGTGGTGGGACGCAAGAGGAACCTCATGGAGATGTTGGTAGGGAAAGACTGGGGGTCAATGGGGATGATGGGAGATGAAGTTATGGGGTCTAGGGGGTCACAGGGACTCAATGGGGGTCAATGGAAGTCAATGGCTTCAATGGGACTCAATGGGCGTCCTTGATGAGGCCTTGGCGGAAGGCACAGATGCCCAGCTGGACCATGGTGCGGTTGTAGAGGATCTGGGGGAGAGGTTACTTATGGGGCACAGAGGTCACTTATGGGGCAGAGACAACACTTATGGGGTAGAAAAGTCATTGGGGTCAATGGGAGAAGGATTGAGGAGGAAAGAAGGAGGTGGGACGCAAGAGGAACCTCATGGAGATGTTGGTAGAGAAAGACTGGGGGTCAATGGGGATGATGGGAGATGAAGTTATGGGGTCTAGGGGGTCATAAGGACTCAATGGGGGTCAATGGAAGTCAATGGGAGAAGGACTGGGGACCAGGGAGTGGTGGGACTCAAGAGAAACCTCATGGAGATGTCAATCAATGGGTCCCTATGGGTCTCTATGGGGCTCTATGGGTCTCTATGGGTCTCTATGGGTCTCTATGGGTCTCTATGGGTCTCTATGGGGTGTCTATAGGGCTCTATGGGGCTCTATTGGTGTCTATGGGGGCGCAGGCAGGGGTTTGCGGCGCGGCCAGCAGGGGGCGCTAAAGGGCCAAAGGGGGCGTGGTCAGCTGAGGACACGCTGCCTCGCTGCGTTCTGATTGGCTGGAGAGGAACCCATTGATGCCTATGTGTCTCTATGTGTCCCTATGGGGTCTCTATGGTTTTGGGTTTGGGTTCTATGGGTCTCTATGTGTCTCTATGGGTCTCTATGGGTCTCTATGGGTCTCTATGGGTCCCTATGGGTCTCTATGGGTCAGACCTGCACGGGGGGGTCGGCGTGCTGGATGTTGTCCTGCAGGTGGGACATGAGCATGAGGTCCCGGGCCGGGTACCAGCGGCTGTGCAATGCATGATGGTAGATGTGGCAATCTATGGGTCTCTATGGGGCTCTATGGGTCTCTATGGGTCTCTATGGGGTGTCTATAGGGCTCTATGGGGCTCTATTGGTGTCTATGGGTCTCTATGGGGTGTCTATAGGGCTCTATGGGGCTCTATTGGTGTCTATGGGGGCGCAGGCAGGGGTTTGCGGCGCGGCCAGCAGGGGGCGCTAAAGGGCCAAAGGGGGCGTGGTCAGCTGAGGACACGCTGCCTCGCTGCGTTCTGATTGGCTGGAGAGGAACCCATTGATGCCTATGTGTCTCTATGTGTCCCTATGGGGTCTCTATGGGTCTCTATGGGTCTCTATGGGTCCCTATGGGTCTCTATGGGTCAGACCTGCACGGGGGGGTCGGCGTGCTGGATGTTGTCCTGCAGGTGGGACATGAGCATGAGGTCCCGGGCCGGGTACCAGCGGCTGTGCAATGCATGATGGTAGATGTGGCAGAGGATGGCGCAGGTGCGGATGCGGTCGGTGCGGTCCTTGGCGTAGATGAACTTGCAGAGGCGGTCCATGAGGGCGGCCGGGGATTCCTCATTGGTGGCTGGGGGGTGATGTCATCGGTGATGTCATCAGTATCGGCGGCATTGATCCCCATTGACTCCCATTGAACCCATTGACTCCCATAGACTCCCATTGACCCCTATTCATCCTCATTGACTCCATTGACCCCCATTGCCCCTCATTGCCCCCTATTGCTCCACATTAACCCCCACTGACTCCCATTGATCCCCATTGAGTCCATTGACTCCCATAGACTCCATTGACCCACATTGAGTCCCATTGACCCCCATTGCCTCCCACTGACCCACATTGATCGCCATTGCCCCCCACTGACCCCATTGGCCCCCATTGCCCCCATTGCCTCCCATTGACTCCCATGAAGCCCCATTGCCCCCCATTGACCCCATTGACTCCCATTGACCCCATTGACTCCCATTGCCCATTGATCTTGACCCCATTGACTCCATTGACCCCCATTGCTCCCCATCACCCCCATTGACCCCATTGCCCCCCATTGACCCCCATTGCCCATTGACCCCCATTGACCTCCATTGCCCCCATTGACTCCATTGACCCCCATTGACCCCCATTGACTCCCATTGACCCCCATTGACCCCCGTTGACCCCCATTGAACCCCACTGACCCTGTTGACTCCCACTGACCCCCATTGCCTCCCATTGTCCCCCATTGACCCCCATTGACCCCATTGACCCCCACTGCCTCCCATTGACCCCATTGACTCAAATTGCCTCCCATTGACCATTGACCCCCATTGACCCCATTGACCCCCATTGCCTCCCATTGACCCCATTGCCCCCCATTGCCCCCCATTGACCCCCATTGCCCCCCATTGACCCCCATTGCCTCCCATTGACTCCCATTGCCCCCATTGACCCCATTGACCCCCATTGACCCCATTGACTCCATTGCCCCCCATTGCCCCCCATTGCCCCCCATTGCCCCCCATAGACCCCCTTACCCCCCGGCTGCGCCTCCCCATAGTCGAACTTATAGTAGGTGTGAAGGATGCGGCGGAGGAAGACGCGGCAGAGCTCTTCCGGGGACCCCTTCTCCTGCAGGTACCGCTGCAGGCGCGCAATGATCCCGCACACCCGCGCCTCGTCCTTCAGCTGCTCCACGTACTCTATGGGGCACCAAGATGGGGCGCTATGGGGCGCTATGGGGTGCCTATGGGGTCCTAGGGGGGTTAGAATGGGCCTGGAGCGGTTGCTATGGGGATGCGATGCGGTTGCTATGGGGATGCAATGCGGTTGCTATGCAGTTGCTATGGAGATGCTATGCGGTTGCTATGCGGATGCGGTGCGGTTGCTATGGGGATGCGATGCGGTTGCTATGGGGATGCTATGGGGATGCTATGGGGATGCTATGCGGTTGCTATAGGGATGCTATGGGGACCCCTTCTCCTGCAGGTACCGCTGCAGGCGCGCAATGATCCCGCACACCCGCGCCTCGTCCTTCAGCTGCTCCACGTACTCTATGGGGCACCAAGATGGGGCGCTATGGGGCGCTATGGGGTGCCTATGGGGTCCTAGGGGGGTTAGAATGGGCCTGGAGCGGTTGCTATGGGGATGCGATGGGGTTGCTATGGGGATGCTATGGGGTTGCTATGGGGATGCTATGGGGATGCTATGGGGTTGCTATGGGGATGCTGGGGTTGCTATGGGGATGCTATGGGGATGCTATGGGGATGCTATGGGGATGCTATGGGGATGCTATGGGGTTGCTATGGGGATGCTATGGGGATGCTATGGGGATGCGATGGTGCTATGGGGATGCTATGGGGATGCTATGGGGTTGCTATGGGGTTGCTATGGTGATGATGGGGATGCTAGGGGAGCTATGATGCAACGGGGTGGTCTAGTGCTAGGGATGCTATGGGGACCATGTGGGGGCTATGGGGTGATGGGTGCTATGGGGTCCTATGGGGTTATGGGGTGGAGGGTTGCTATGGGGATGCTATGGGGTTGCTATGGGGTTGCTATGGGGATGCTATGGGGTTGCTATGGGGATGCTATGGGGTTGCTATGGGGATGCTATGGGGTTGCTATGGGGATGCTATGGGGTTGCTATGGGGATGCTATGGGGTTGCTATGGGGATGCTATGGGGATGCTATGGGGATGCTATGGGGTTGCTATGGGGATGCTATGGGGTTGCTATGGGGATGCTATGGGGTTGCTATGGGGATGCTATGGGGATGCTATGGGGATGCTATGGGGATGCTATGGGGATGCTATGGGGATGCTATGGGGTTGCTATGGGGGGGTAATGGGGTCCTATGGGGGTCCTTCACCACTCATAGCGATCCATAGGCGTGTATGGAGATCTATGGGGGTCTATGGGGCTCTATAGGGGTCTATAGGGCTCCATAGGGCTCTATGGGGGTACCTTGGGAGTGGGGGTCCGTGTTCTGCATGATCTTGGTGAACTCCTCGTCCATTCGCTCCACCAGGGTCAGGATGCAGCCGCGGACGCGGTAGGGCTGGAACAGGGGAAGGACCCATAAGTGTGGGGCAGGAGCCATAAATGTGGGGCTGGAGCCATAAGTGTGGGGCAGGACCCATAAGTGTGGGGCTGGAGCCATAAGTGTGGGGCTGGACCCATAAGTGTGGGGCTGGACCCATAAGTGTGGGGCAGGAGCCATAAATGTGGGGCAGGACCCGTAAGTGTGGGGCTGGACCCATAAGTGTGGGGCAGGACCCATAAGTGTGGGGTTGGACCCATAAGTGTGGGGCTGGACCCATAAGTGTGGGGCTGGACCCATAAGTGTGGGGCTGGACCCATAAGTGTGGGGCTGGACCCATAAGTGGGGCTGGACCCATAAGTGTGGGGTGGACACATAAGTGTGGGGTGGACCCATAAGTGTGAGGAGACCCCATAGCCACCCATAGGGACCCATAGAAACCCCATAGAGACCCATAGAGAACCTTAAACCCCCATAGACACCAATGGTTTCCTCTCCAGCCAATCAGAACGCAGCGAGGCAGCGTGTCCTCAGCTGACCCCGCCCCTTTGGCCCTTTAGCGCCCCCTGCTGGCCGCGCCGCAAACCCCTGCCTGCGCCCCCATAGACACCAATAGAGCCCCATAGAGCCCTATAGACACCCCATAGAGACCCATAGACACCAATAGAGCCCCATAGAGCCCCATAGACACCCCATAGAGCCCCATAGACCCCCATAGAGCCCCATAGCGCCCCATAGGGACCTGCTCGGGGTTGCTGAGGTTCTCGGACTCCTCCAGGATGTTCTCCCCTATGAAGATCTCCGGGTGCTGGAAGAGCTCATCCAGGAGCTCCTCAATGCAGGTGAGGCAGCGCTGCCATAGCTCCGGCTGCGGGACCCAGAGACACCCATAGGGACCCATAGAGACCCATAGAGACCCATAGAGACCCATAGGGACCCATAGAGACCCATAGAGACCCATAGAGACCCCATAGAGACCCATAGAGACCCATAGAGACCCATAGGGACCCATAGAGACCCCATAGAGACCCCATAGAGACCCATAGAGACCCCATAGAGACCCATAGAGACCCCATAGAGACCCATAGGGACCCATAGAGACCCATAGAGACCCCATAGAGACCCATAGAGACCCATAGAGACACCATAGAGACCCATAGAGACCCATAGGGACCCCATAGAGACCCATAGAGACCCCATAGGGACCCATAGAGACCCATAGGGACACATAGAGACCCATAGAGACCCCACAGAGACCCATAGAGACCCCATAGGGACACATAGGGACCCCATAGGGACCCATAGAGACCCCATAGAGACCCATAGGGACCCATAGAGACCCCATAGAGACCCCCTAGAGCCCCCATAGCCCCCCATAGACCCCCCATATCCCCCCATAGACCCCACTCCACCTCCATACCCACCAACAGAACCCTTCCAGCCAATCAGAACGCAGCGAGGCAGCGTGTCCTCAGCTGACCCCGCCCCCTTTGGCCCTTTAGCGCCCCCTGCTGGCCGCGCCGCAAACCCCTGCCTGCGCCCCCATAGACACCAATAGAGCCCCATAGAGCCCTATAGACACCCCATAGAGACCCATAGACACCCCATAGAGCCCCATAGCGCCCCATAGCGCCCCATAGAGACCTTCATGTAGGTGGCCAGGTTGGGGTTGTAGTCATAGAGGGAGGCGATGATGCTGAACTTGATCTTGATCTCTAGCGCCGCCCCCAGCCCGTTCTCATTGGCTACGGCCACCAGGAGCTGCAGGAGCTCGATCTGGGCAGCGCTGGGGGGCGGGGATGCATTGGGACACATTGGGAGCCATAGGGATACATAGAGACCCATAGAGACCCATAGGGACCCATAGAGAGACCATAGGGACCCATAGAGACCCATAGGGACCCATAGGAATACATAGAGAGCCCATAGGGACCCATAGAGAGCCCATAGGGACCCATA